AGGTCCTGAGTTTGATTCCCAGTACCAAAAAAAAGTATCTACTTCATCTTTGTTTTCGAATATTTTATTATAAAATGTTTTAAACATACAGCAAATTTGAATTCATTTGAGTTGGTCTTGGTAATGGTTCACACTTGTAACCTCAGCACTTGGAAGCTGATCACTATGTTTTTTTGTGTTAATTTTTAAAATTTTATTTTGAAGAGAATAAAATCCAACAAAATAAAACAAGAAAGAATAAAGCCAATAAAAACAAGACAGTCGGGGCTGGGGATTTAGCTCAGCAGCATAACCGCCTGCCTTGCAAGCAGGCAGTCGTGAGTTTGATCCCTGGTACCGATAACAAGGAAAAAGACCAAAAAAAAAAAAAAAAAAAAAAAAAAAAACCAAAACAAGACAGTGAAAGTTGTATACAACTTCAAAATAAGATAACAGGAAATCAACAATAGCTGCTATAATATATCTTGCTATCTTCACAGTAGTTGTCCATACCATCAGACATAGCAAAATCAAATAGAACAAAATAGAATAAAACCAATCTAAAATATCACATTGAATAAAAACAGTAAATTAGAACAAAGCAAAACAGTGAGGACAATACTGCACATTGTTATCTTCAAAATAATTGCTCAGGTTACCAGATGCGATAATAAAAAGTAGTAAAATGGAACAAACATTAGATTTTAAAAACAAGATAGGAGAATATCCCCCACAGTTGACACAATGCATGCTGCTATTCTTCAAGTAGATACCCACACCACTAGCCCCAGACCTGCAGAATCAACCAAAAAATAGAAGCATCAAGCTATTCCCTTTCCCTTAGTAGCTATCATCTCATTCAAAGTCCTCTGAATCAGTGGAGGTGTGGAATGTTTCTTCTGGTTTTTCAGTCCGTGCCCTGGTAACTCATGGGAAGTTGTGATTTCTCTTCTGGCTGAGGATCTTACCCATCAGCATGGCCGAGCCTGCTTCAGAGGGAAGGATATGGTTTGTGTTCTGTCTGAGGCTTTTTCCGATCAGCAAAGTGGGGCTTGCTTTATGGGAACACTTGGTTTGTCCTCTGGCTGAGGCTCTTACCCATCAGCATGATGGGGCTTGCTTTATGGGAAGGCATTGTTTCTCTTCTGGCTGAGGCTCTTTCCCATCAGCATGGCAGGGCTTACTTCATGGGAAGGTGTGGTTTCTCTTTTGGCTGAGGCTTTTACCCATCAGCATGATGGAGCCTGTTTCACGGGAAGCTTGATTTGTCTTCTGGTTGAGGCACTTAGCACTCAGCATAGAGAAGCCTGCTTCATGAGAAGGCGTATTTTCTCTTCTGGATGAGGCTCTTTCTGATCAGCATGGCAGGGCTTGCTTCATGGCAAGATGTGGTTTTTCTTCTGGTTGAGGCTTTTACCAATCAGCATAGCAGAGCTATTGCATGGGAAGGCATAGTTTCTCCATGTTTTAAGGCCAGCCTGAAATACATAGCAACACCCTTTCTTAAAACACCAAAACCAAACCAACAACAAAACTAAAAACCCCACAAAAACAAACAAAGAAATTGAGTGATGTCCTATAATCTCTCTTGCTAAATTAGTGTGTTGACATTTTCTTGGATTTACTTTTATTTGCCTAATTTCCTCTTCATATAAAGTTTACTTAGAGTAATAAGCCCAATTTGTTTACTGTACTTCTGGGAATTGAACTTAGAGCTTTGTGCAAGATTAGGCAAGGGTCTTACTACTGAGGTATACACTCATCCTCTGCAAATCTTAAGTATATATTTGTTTTTTCCCAGTACATGATGCATCAGTTTTTATCCACTCTTTAATTTATAAATTTTCCATAATTTTGAGTATTTGTAAATGCAAAAATGTTTAAGAAAGTATAAAAGAAACACTAATATACTTACCAACTATCTTTGCCATTATATAAGATTTCACTATACAGTTAAACACTGCACAATGATACTTCAGCTAGTGGCAGACCAGGTACACAATGGTTACTTATAAAGTTTTATTACCAGATGACATCATACAGGCCTCAATTTGTGTAGATATTCTCTGATATTTGAATGACAATGAAATTGCCTAATGATGCCTTTCTTGGGACACATTCCCATTGGTAAGTGTTGTATGACTCTGTTTGCTTTATCACATACCTCTTTAACCATGTATCCATTATGAATGATTGTATTCATCTCTGCTCTAATCCGTATTTTTTTCCTTTTATTTTCCTAGCACTGATACAGTTTTTACTTGCTTGCCTCAGTTTCTTAACATGTAAAGTTAGGTTCTTGATTAATGATTCTTTTTTGAGACAGGATTTTGCTGTGTAATTCAGAGTAGGCATGAAATGTGTGTAGTTCAGGCTGGCCTTGAACTCCAGATGATCCTCCTGCTTCAGGCTTCAGAGTGGTGGGATTATAAGCATGCACCACCATGCCTGCTTTAGATCTTTTTTAATGTATGTGTATACCATTAAAAATTCCCCTCTTTGTACTGTTTTTACTTTGTTCTTAATATTTTTGGCATTGTTTTTGTCTCAAAATATTTTATAATTTATCTTGAGATTTACTTGACACATAGTTAAGAGTGTATTACAAATACAAATAGTTTTTTTGTCATTTTCTGTTACTCATTCTACTTTCCTTCCCTTGTGTTTGAGGAAATTGCAAGATTTTAGTACATTTATAGCAAGGGTTGTTTTGGGCCTTACAGTAAGATCTGTGCTTAAAATGTTTTACTTGCGTTTGAGAGAAATACGTTTTCTGACATTGCTGGAGTGTTCTGTATAATGTTCTTATCTGTTAGATCCACTTGATTTACAGTGGCACTCAAGTCCTATTTCCTTACTGATCTTTTGTGTTTCCTATATATTGTTAAAATTGAAATCAGTGAATTTAAATAATCAGGTGTGCTTTTTGTCATTGAACTTCTTTTGCATTTAGAAGTTTCCTTATTTTTTATTTATTTTAAAGAGAAAGCAAAGAAAAATTAGAAAGCAGTCAAGCAAACAAACAAAAAACAACAACAAAAGCCAAACAATGACAGCAACAACAACAAAATAGTGATACAGAATTTCAAAATAAGATAATAGAAATTTAACAGTGGTTGTTATATTACATATTATTATCTTCAAAATAGTTGTTCAGGGTCATTTAGATGTTTAATGAGGCAAAAGAAATGTTCTTGTAGAACCTTACAGTTTTTCTTTCAGTTTTGTCAACTTTTTTGCATATATTGTGAGGATGATTGGTGTGATACATGTGTGGTTATAATTGTTAAATCTTTGTGATTAGTTGACTGTTTTTTCAATATATGTTCCATTTGTCTCTTTTAAGACTTTTCAACTTGAAATCCATATTGTCTTACTTTTTAAAAAATATTTACTTTAAAGAGAAAAAAAAAAAACACAAAAATAAAGAAGCAAACAAATCTAAAAAACAACCAAAGCAAAATGATGACAACAAAACAACAATAGCTATATAGATTTCCAAAACAAGATGATAGGAATTTAACAATGGTTCTTATACTGCATAATGTTATCTTCAAAAATAGTTGCTATATCAAAATAGATATGGAATATAACAAAACAGTGAAATAGAGCAAAACAGTGGATTGCAAAAGTAAGACAGAAGGAAATCCCTCACAGTTGCCACAATGCACACTGCCATTCTCCAAATAAATGCTCAGACTACCAGCCCCAGATCTGCAAGGTCAGTCAAAAATACAAAAATCAAGATATTTCTTTCACTTCAGTTGCTATCATCTCACCTGCTGAGTCCTCTGAACCAGTCAGTTGCTTGGGAGTGGGCATGGGAATGCTCTTCTGTTTTCTCAGCCTGTGCACGGTTGACTGACAGGAAAGCACGGTTTGTCTTTTTGCTAAGTCTCTTCCCAATCCCCATGGTGGAGCCTAGCTCACAGCAAGGCATGGTATGTCTTTTCTTGACTCTCTTCTTGATCCCCATGGCAGAGTGTGGCTCACAGGAAGGCATGGTTTGTCTTCTTGCTGGGTTTTCCACATCTCCATGGTGAAGCTTGGCTCATAGGAAGGCCTATTTTGTCATATATTTGTTTAATCATCTCAGGTCTCTTTTGGTGGTTGTGGGCATAGACTATCTTTCCTTTCAGTCACTTTCAACCCATTTGTGCCTTTAGATCACAAGTAAGGTGGTTTTGTTTTGGTTCTGTTTTGTTCCAGTACTCAGAATTGAACCCAGGACATTTGCAATGAGCCACATCACCAGCTCTTTCTATTTTTTGAGACAGAGTCTCAATAAGTTACTGAGTTGCTCATGGCTTGAACTTGTGATTCTCATTCCTCAGCCACTCAGAGCAGTGGCATTGTAGATATGTACTACCGTGTCAGGCATGGTGAGTCTTTTATGGCCATTATTTGGGTCATTTTTAATATAATCTTTCAGTCTGTGACTTGATCCAGGAGTTTAAACCATTTATATTTGAGTTAAGTATTGATTAAGTATCTGATTCTACTGTATTGCTGTTTTCGTTGTCTTACTGCTTTATTGTATTGTTGTTCTTTTGTGCTTATTTGAAGTTTTGCAGTGACAAATTTTGATTCTTCTCTCACTTTTTTCATATATATTTCTCAGATACTTTGCTTTTGTAATGGGGATTGCACATAACATTTTAAAGCTCCTTGTTTGAATTGATTTCAATTTAACTTCAGTCCTTACCAAAACTCTCCTCTTAGATAACTCAAACCTGTATTACAGTTTGCTGCCACAAAGTACATTTTTATGCATAACATGTAAGTATGTTTTATGTCTTTATACTTTAAATCTTATAGAAAGTTAAAAAATGGATCTCCAAAAAATTGCAATGACAGTGAGTGTTATATTTGCATCTCTATGTGTCTTTTTTGATATGATTTTGTTTTGTGTTGTCTAGTATTCTTTGTCTGAAAGCCTCTCTGGCATTTTTGTAGGGCAGGTCTGTTGTTAACAAATTCCCTCAGTGTAGGAGTATCTTCATTCTACCCTCTCTTTTTTTTTAAATATGATATGCTTCCTGAATTTGTGTGTCACCCTTGCATAGAGCCCATGCTAATCTTCTCTTTATTGTTCCAGTTTTAGTGTATGTGCTGCTGAATTGAGCACTCTTCTTCTATTGTGAAGAATGAGCTTGCTGCATATGAAATTCTCAGCTGATGAGATTTTTTGTTCAACACTTGGAAATATGTTACTGGACTGTATTCTGGTTGTGAAATTTTGGATGACAAATTAGTGGATAATCTTATTAATGATTTCTCATGTGATGAATCACTTATCTTTTCTTGATTTCAGTGTAATTGTACATAGGTGATATTGTTGGTTTGGTTCCAGACTACTACAACAAAGCAAATTATTTTTAATAAAGTTTGTCACATGATTCTTGTTTTCCTAGCACATATAAAGGTTATGTATCTGTGTATACTTTACAGTGTACAGCAAGATATCTAAAATGTATATGCCTTAATTAAAATACTTTTGCTAAATGCTAATGATTCTATAAACTTTCAGTGAAACATAATCTGTTTACTGATAGAGTGTGTTGTCTCAATGTTGATTCCTTCAGACTAGTCAGGGTTGCTGAATATTGAGATATCTATAGTTCATCTTTTTTTCCTTTTTTTATTCCTTTTCCTTTTCCTGTTCCTCTTTCTTTTCCTTCCTTATTTCTTTCCTTCTGTCCTTTTTTCTGATGTACCTTTCTGAGACAGTTTCACTGTGCAGCTCAGTGTGCTCTTTAACTTACTTTGTAAGCTAGGCTCGTTTGAACTCACAGTGATCCTTCTGCTTCAGCCTCTTGAGTGCTGGGATTATAGACATGCAGCACCATTCCCAGCCCTATTTTATCAGTATTGCTGTCATTTCAGCAGTATTCATAGCATCTGCACTAGAGAGGTAATCCATCTCAAGGCATCATTTCCTTTGTGTACCTGTCAGAAGCAACTCCAGTGTATTTCTTAAATAAGACGACTTGAGTGTAAAAAGGACTTTCAATCAATGGTCTGTAGAATTGATGTTGTGTTGATAAGCATGAAAACTATTATTTTCATAATAAACTGAATCAGATTTCTGGGTAACCAGATGCATTGTTAATGGATAGTAGTTTTCTGAAAGAAAACTTTGCAACAGTAGGCTTCAAATATTCAGTAAACTATGATGTATTTAGATGTGTTGTTATTCTGGCTTTGTTTGTTTTATACAACATAACCAGATTACCTATAGTATAGTGAAGGTCCTAGGATACTTGGTTATGGCTAATTGGAGTTCTGTATATCAATTTCCTTTCCCATGTTTGGGAAATTTTCTGGTATTTTGTAAATAGTCTTTTGATATAATTTGTGTTGTCACCTTTTTTTGTTTATACCTATCAATGTTACATTGCTTTTCTTTGCATCATCTTGCAACTATTGAATTGTTACTTCCTGATTGTGGATTTTTATCTATTTTTTATTTTAAAAAGGGTAGAACTAAACATAACAAAACAAAACAAAGCAGATCAAAAGCAAAACAATGTAAGTGACAAAGATTTCAAAGCAAGACAACAGGAGATCTATAGTAGCTACCAAAATGTCTCTTGTTTTCTTCTAAATAGTTGTCTATAGGTTCACACACAATGAATTAGTATAAAACAAAATGCTTATAAAACTGAGTAATGAAGGCATTACAGGCCTTTAAAACCAGACAATAGGAAAATTAACAATGGCTGCCATAATGTCTCTTGTTCTCTTCAAAATAGCTGTCCATACCTTCATGGATGTTAAAATTAAATAATGCAAAACAGACTAAAACAACTCTGAACAAAGAATAAAAGCATTACTGTATTTCACAGTATGATGATACTGCAATCAGTAACGAATACTATAATGCCGCTTTTTCTTCAAAGTAGCTGTTCCTTTCATCACATTTAATATAATCAATGCTCATAAACTGTTCAGAAGTTCTAGGCATGTATAAGCCTCTACATGTATACCTATCGTTTCTCCATCAGAGGGAAAAACCAAACCAAACCAAAGCAGATTACTATAAAAATATGAAACAAAAAAGACAAATAAATAATACTAGCAAAGAGGCTAAAACATTTATGATTTAGGCTTTCAAAACACGATGGGAAGAAATGAACTAAGGTTGATATTTTACCTAGTGATCTTCAAGAGTTCCTCAAGTCACCATACACAAACATGCAAAATTGTTCCTATGACTATTAACTGCTAAAGTTTTATGAACTTAGAGAATTTGTAGCACAATCATCTTAGCTTTCCTAAGTGTGATTATACAAATTTAGATATTTTTTTTCTTTTCCCTTCCTTTTTCTTTTTTCTCCTTTTCCCTGAGAAATTATATTTTCCTCTTTGAGCAGATTCTTACTCTTTCACGGTATTTATGGAGAATTTTGTATCTTATGTTCTCTTACCATTTGTTTTACCAGGTACACAATACGGTATTTACACATGGAAATTTGTTTTATTCCACTTATGAGTATGATCTCAAGTTGCATCCATTTATTTCTAAATATCTCAACATGAACTTTCTTTACAGCTGCGTAGTACTCCATTGTATAAAAATACCGCAACTTTTTTATTCATTCCTCAGCTAATGGGCATTTAGGTTGTTTCCAAGATCTGGCTATTATAAATTGTGCTCCTATAAACATGGGTGCATGTATCACTGTAATATGATGTTTTCATTACTTCTGGGAATATGCTCAGAAGTGGAACAACTGGGTCAAATGGGACTTCCAAACTCAGCTTTTTGAGGAACCTCCACACAGATCTGCACAGTGGTTGCACCAGTCTACACTCCCTCCAAGAGTGCAGGAGAGTTCCTTTTTCCCCACAGCCTCTCCAGCATTTGTTGTTGGTAGTCTTCTTGAACCTGGCCATTCTTTCTGGAGTGAAATGGAATCTAAGTGTTGTTTTAATTTGAATTTCTCAAGTGACCAATGATGTTGAACATTTTTTCATCTATGTATTTGCCCTTTGTATTTCTTTATCTGAGAATTGTGTATTCATCTCATATGCCCATTTTTGGATTGGGTCTTTGAATTTTTGGCGCCTGATTTTTAAAAGTTATTTATATATTTTAGGCAGAAGTGCTTTCTCTGAGGGAGAATTGACTAAGATTTTTTCAAAATTTTTGGGTTTACTCGGTTGGAGGTTTGTTTTTGACATGCAAAAACTTTTCAATAAGATGTGATCCCAGTTAATGATTCCCTTGCAGTTTGATTTTTTTTCTCATGAATTTTCTATCTACCCCATGTCTTCAAAATTTCTACCTACTTTGTCTTCCAGCATATTTAGAGTTTCTGTTTTAATATTTAGTTCTTTGTTCCATTTAGACTTTAGTTTAGTACATAGTGATAGGCATAGAGTAGTTTTTGTTTTTGGCATATGGAGAGCCAGTTTTTCCAGCACTACTTATTAAAGAGACTATCTTTCTTCCAGTGAATGTGTTTGGCCCCTTTGTCAAAGATAAAGTGGCTGAATATGTTTGTAGTTGTAATTGTATCTTTTAGTCTACTCCATTGATCTCCAGGTCTGTTTTTATTCTAGTACCATGCTGATTTTTTTACAGTAGCTTTGTAGTATATCTTCGTATCAGGGAGTGTGATGCTTCTTGCCTTACCTTTGTTGCTCAGAATTGCCTTTGCTGTTCTGTCTTTTCTGGTTACAGATGAATTTTAGGAATGATTTCTCTAGATCTGTGAGGCATACTAGTGGTATTTTGATTGGGATTGCATTAAATCAGTATAACAATTTTGGGAGAACGGCCATTTTCACAATATTTGTTCTTGCTCTTCATGAACAAGGGATATCTTTTCACTTTTGGAGGACTTCTTTAATTACTTTTTTCAGGGTATCATAAATTTCCCTGAATAGGTCATTTACTTCTGTTGTTAGATTGATTCCTAAGGATTTCTTTTGTTGGGATGCTATTGTGAAGGGTGTGGCTTTTATTTCTCTGTGTGTTTGTTGTTTTTATGTAGGAATGCTATTGATTTTTGAGTGTTGAATTGGTATCCAGATACATTACTGAAGTTACTTATGATACTTAGGAGTATTTCAATGGAGTTTTGGCATCTTCTATGTAGATTGTTGTGTCGTTTGCAAATTATAATTTAACGTATTCTTTTCCTATCCTTACTCCTTTTATTTCTGTCTCTTTTCTAATTGCTCTGGATAATATTTCCGGCTCTATATTGAACTGGGTGGCGATAATGGACATCCTTGTCTTGTTCCTGATTTTAGTGTAAAGCCTTTCGGTGTTTGGCCATTTAATATGATGGTGGCTATTGTTTGGTCATAGATGGCTTTTCTCATATTGAGCTAAACACCATCTATTCCACATTTCTGTAATGTTCTTACCATAAATGAGTGTTAAACCTTATCAAAAGCTTTTTCTGTATCTATAGAAATGATCACGTGATTCTTATTTTTGGCTGTATGGATATGGTGGATTACATTTATTGATTTGCATATGTTGAACCATCCCTGCATTCTTGGGATGAAATTCCCCTTGGTTGTGGTGAATAATCTTCTTGATGATTTGCTGCATTCTGTTTGCAATATTGTATTGAGAATTTTGCATCTATGTTCATTAGGAAGATTAGCCTGTAGTTTAATTTTTTGGTTGAGTCTTTCTCTGGTTTTGGTACTAGAATAATACTTACTTCCAGGAAAGAGTTAGGGAGAATTGCTTCACTTTCAATTTCATTAAAGACTTTGAGTAATGTCGACATTAAGTCTTTGAATTTCTTGTTAAGTTTTACAGTGAATCCATCTGTTGTTGGTAAGGTTGTAATTATATTGTCAGTTTCATTAATAGAAATTGGGTTATTCAGCAGTTTTCCATCTTCTTGATCCAGCTTTAGTAGTTCATATGTTTCTAGGAATCTATCGATTTCCTCTCTGTTATCAAGCCTGTGAGAGTAGCGTTTTGGATGTATGTATTGATGATCTTCTGTATTTCCACAAGGTCTGTAGTGATTTCGCCTTTTCATTGCTTATTGCATGAATTTGAGTTTTTTATTTCCCTTATTAAATAAAGTTGGCTAGCAGCTTATGCATTTTATTTATTCTTTCAAGGAACCAACTCTTTGATTCATTGATTCT